AGTAACATTTGATAAGAGATGGCAAACTGTCCACATAAGATTGAAAATCCATCACATAATAATAGTACATAGAAAATCTGAACACTCACATGTCACTTCTAGGTAGATTCTGCGGCTGATGGCGGGTGGCACCCCATTGGAAGCAACACACAGATAGGCTCCCATATGAAACCTCGACACACGGATAATGTTGAGTTCCTCCCCGCTGTGTAGTGTTACTAAAATAAAAAAAAACATATACATACATATATATATATATAGAAAAGAAAGTTACAAAAAAAGTATCAAAATACTACCCTATAAAGTAGAATTCTACGACCTTTGGGATAGTCAGCGTGTCAAAGGTATAGCGAAGAAAAGTAGTATTGGAGGTCAGTGTGAAACAATAATAGGCTTGTAAATCAATGTTTACTCGCCCCTTATGGAAAATTTGCAATCGAGTTCAGTCTAGATATCTGTTTCCAAATCCGAGCCATTACCCAAAGACGGACATATCCACGTTCAATAGGGTCATAACAGTATTCTGGTGAACAATAATGGTTTCAATCAGATTTTTTTTTTAAGTATCTTCTCCTTATGTAAACAAAAACTGGAAAAAATTGAATCACAAGAATTTCCGGGCAGCTGAGGATTTACAAATAACTTCCCTTTGTAAATTGTACGTCGGGCAAGAATCTCATTATGCTTATTCCCTTTCAGACAATGACGCTTGTTTGAAATTACATTGCTACCTGCTGATTTGTTTGCAATTCTCGATATTCTATTTAAGAATGGCGCGAACGAGACTTTTTTTTCCCACTTTTTTTGATTAACTTTGTCAATAAATAAATAACACAGCTCAGAAAATAGAAAACTTTTTTGCAAAATATAAACCCGAAACTCCTCTATTTAATAATAATTAATTAAAAAAATAAATAAAAAAACTGAAACTTGTTAACCTTTATATTTTTGGGTTACAATTTGAAAAAAATTGTAGACATAAATTCCTACTGTCGTCCGTCTGTCTGTCTGTCTTCCTTAATCTCGAGAACAGTGTTAGATAGATGAAAGTCCAGATCAGATATGGAAAGATTAGGAACAGAATGCCTCAATTAACTATAACAAAATTCCGATTTAGAACGAACGTCAAGTGATTTCAATTCAAAAATTTCCCCTTTAACCGATTTAATAGATAACCTGTATAATTCTATTTTTATCAGGAAAAACACGATGTACAGTACAGGGGTAAGACTACTAAATTTAAATCGAGAGCATATATTTTAAATTAAATAAATTAAAAATATGATTAAAAATTGAAGCCCGGCATCTTTATAATAATTTTCGCTCGTATTTTCTTTTCTTATTTATTTATTAATTTTTTTTTAAAATAAATCACTGTATCTGTGCAAAACTTCCGTTTAAAACTAAACGATTTTCCGAAAGTTTCATTTCGTGTGTGTAATAATGTTGACAGAGCACTAGTAAACTCTCCCTTCACTTCGGCTTTATCTATACAATATGTCATTATTGCAGAGAATTATATCCCCAGGAGTTATACTATCCTCACCTCAATAAGGGATATTGTAATAACCCGCTTATCAGATTTGTAAGAATAATATTGCAATAACAGTAGATTCTTCTGATACCATGGATTAAAAAATATTTACAAAAAGTATTGAAGTTTTGTTGTTATTATAAAAATCATTTATTTTACTTAAATTTAACCTTTTAAATCTGATATTNAAATAATTTAAATTGAGATAATACGTAAGACATGTAACATTTACTTTAATGAAAATGTTAAGTCGAAAAATTTCTAATTCCTTTCTTAAATAGATTAAGACCACGTGTCTTAATTTTACTTTCACTTTTTTTTTATTTTATTTTAATTCTCTTTCCCTTCTTTCCCTCAATTCCCATTTTTCTATTTTTCTTCATTCTCAATAATCATCTTAGGATTTTCTGTAATTCTACAAGTTACTTTTTCGGTTATTGTAGTTCAATTAGCCACATTTCACTTCAAAACACGTTCCTCATTCATTCGTTCTTCTTTAAAGTAAGAAAAGATTTCTGCACTGGTAATGTGATTAGGTAAATTCTAGACATTTGTTCTCGCTCATTTCTTTGTCATTGTGATTATCCTGTCGATAGGAATTTTTCTTTAATTTAAATGGATTCAAAAATTAAATCGACTTTTGTTTATAACAAATTTACTAAATTCGTTTAACTTTATTTTATTCATTTATTTTATATAAAGTAGAATTTATTAAAAATTCGATAAAATATAAATGGATTTATTTATTAAGTTTATTTATTTAAAAAAAAATATATATATATTTTTTTTAATTTGGAATTTTTCCGTTATGTATACGCATGTTTTATTTATTAATTTTGTCTTTAATTTACATTTATATTCTATCAGTTGAAACGTAATAAAAAATATATTAAAGAGAATATATAATGAGATGTTAGAGTGAAAATGTAATTAGATATGTAGTAAATGTATAGCTAAAAAATATATTAAGAAGAACATAAATTATGTAAAGAAGTGGAGTGCGCATTATAGGACGAAAATAAGCTTACAAGATGAGTAAAAACGAAAATATAGCTTAAAGCATTGAAGATAAAGCTTAAAATTTATAAATAAATAAAAAATTAAATAGAGAAAAATATTTAACATGATGAAAAAGATTGAAAGAGGTAAGATGGAAGCGTGGCTAGTCACAAATATAGGCTCCATTCCTCTTTGAAATCCATAAAATTATATAAATAAAAGCATTAAAACAAATTTTTAGCTATCTATTAGGAAAATATATTTTAATTTTTATCACTTTGGTCCTCTTTATATCTAGGATCTGCGCCAAATGGCCTACTGACCCCTTCTATCTGAGCCTGATGTTGATTATGTTTAACATATAAAAACGGTTATCTTAATTATCGTACATCTTAATTAATTAAATATTATTCAAATTAAAATAAAAATCATATAACTATAATCTTACTTAAAATATTTAATTTTATTTCAATAATAAAATAAAAAAAAATTAATTTTTAATCACAAAAAATAATTAAAAAATTAATTAATTTTAATGATATCGAAATAAAAATTAGTCATTAAATAATATAATAAGTTAAAAAGTTTTATGTTTATAAAAAATAATAATAATAAGATATATTTGTAAAATTTCTAATTAAAAAAATACATAATAATAATTTTAAAAACTATAAATCATAATTTTTGACGCTGTTTAATTATAAATAAAGTTAATTTTTATTATTATTTTAATAAAGATAGAATAAAATTTTAATATAAAGTTTAATTGTTTTTATATAAATTTCGTGTTTTCTCTCTATAATATATAATATATTATAATATATGTAAAGAATTGCATCCTAGTGATAACAATCATCGATTGAAAAATAACATTACTCGAACTAAATTTGCAAAAAAAAATGTATATATATATATATATTTCCTCATTTTTTTTCCATAAAATATTTCTCTACATTTGTTCTTTTGATATTCAACCAATAAGAAACACGCAACACAAATTAAATAACATTCCCTCTCGTAAAACTAAGAAATTCAATATTATTGTAG